TGTATTTGACTTGATTTCCTTGGTCTTCCTATTGTTGATTTCTAATTTGATAGCATTGTGGTCTGAGAAGATGCTTTGTAGTATATTTGTAAATTTATGGGGATTTGTTTTGTGGCTTAATACATGGTCTACTCTAGAGAATGTTCCCTGTGCACTGGAAAATGTGTATTGTGTTGTTGTTGGGTTGAATGCTCTGTACACATCTATGAGGTGCAGTTGGCTGTGTTGTTCTACCCATTTTTGAAAGCAGTGTATTAAGATCACCCACTGTTATGGTAGATTTGTCTATTTCTTTCTTCAAACCTATTAGAGTTTGTTTTATGTATTTTGGAACTATCTCACTGAGAGCATAGATATTTATTATGATTATGTCATCTTGTTCAATTATCTCTTTAATCATGAGATAATGTCCATCTTTATCTATTATGCGGTTTTCAGCCTTAGTTTATTTTATCAGTGATTAGGCATGCCACTCCTTCGTTTTTTTTTACTGCAATTAGCTTGGTATATTTTTTTCCATATTTGACTTTCCATCTGTTTTTGTCTCTGTGTGTGAGATGTGTCTCTTGCAGACAGCATATTGAAGGATCTTGTTTTCTTATCCATTCTGCTACCATCTCTTAACTGGTGCACTTAATCTGTTTACAGTCAGTGTAATTATTGATAGGTATGGATTAATTGCTGACATTTTTTGTTTTTGTGGTGTTGTTGCTTTCTTTGTTCTGTGTGTCTTCCTTTGCTGAGTTCATGCTTTTTGTGTTCTTCCTTGTGCATTTCCTCAGTTTTAATGTTTCCACGTTCCTGAATTTTCATTTTCTTGGTATGTTGTGAAGTGTTAATTTTCTCTGAGATTACCTTATGGTCCATTAATTTTCCCTCCCTTTAGTGCAGTCTATTTTATCCTGTAATGTACCTGACCTTCTCACCATTTGGATCTCTGTTCCTACGGTTTATCTTCTTTTATGTTGTAATTGTTTTGATCATAGACTAACCTCCCAGATTCTCTGAGTTTGTCTTACAGTTTTGTTCTGTTTTCAACATTTCCTTCTCTCGATTGAGTTCAGGGAGGTGCTGTCACGTGTGTCAGTCTCTGATTGTTGTCTGTTTTTGTTGGTTCTCAGTGCACAGAACTCTCTTTATGATCTTTTGTAGCACAGGCTTGGCTTTGGCAAAATCCCTTAGCTTTTTTATCCTGGAATGTTTTGATTACACCATCGTATTTGATTGATAGCTTTGCTGGATAAAGGATTCTTGGCTGGCAATTTTTCTATTTCATGGTTTTATATATATCGCCCCATTGCCGTTTTGATTGCATGGTTTCTGTTGAGAGATCCGAGCTTAATCTGACTTGCTTGCCTTTGTATGTAACACTTCTGTTTTACCTAGCTGCTTTCAGGAGTGTCTCCTTATCTTTGATTTTGGAGAGCTTGATTATATGTCTCAGTGATTTTCTTTTGCAGTCTATCCTTAATGTGGGGTTCCTTGAGCTTCTTGAATGTTTATCTTTTCACTTTTCAGGATGTTAGAGAAATTTTCTTTCAGCAGTTCTTTCCTTTTTTGCTCTGTGGACTTGTGTACTTGTTCTTGTTCTGGAATACCAATCATTCTTAAATTATTCCTCTTCATGTTGTCCAACATGAATCTTAGATCTTTCTTTGCTTGTTTTGGTTTTTTATCTCCTTTTTTTCTGTTTGCTCTTCTTAGTGGTATTCAGAGATTTATCTTCCAGCTCACTGGTTCTGCCTTCCATCTCTTCTATTCTACTCCTTTGCCCATTCAGTGTATTGTCTATTTCTGAGATCCTATTATTGATCGTTTGGACCTCTTTCTGTAGGTTTTGAATTGTTTCCAATGCTGCATCTATATTATTTGATTGTTCCTGTAGCACTTTCCTGACTTCTTCCTACTTTTTCTCAACTCCATTGTTAAGTGTTTTGAAACATTTTATAACCATTTTTCTGAATTCCTTCTCAGGCATTTCCAAGGCCTGCCCTCCTTCCAGAATGGAGTCCAGGTCTACCTCTAGGTCATTTGTGACAGACATTTTATCGTGTTTTTGAACATGTGCTGATATGGTCGCCTGCTTTTGCTTCTTAGACATCTTTAGTGTTTATCTGTGGCCTGAATACTTAATTGTGTATTTTGGAAAGCTTTCTGATTGCTTACCAGTAGATGTGATCAGCATGTGGGCTTCCCTTTTCACTCTTCTTGTTGCTTAACTCAGAGTAACTTTCACAGATGTTGTGTTTCCCTGGTATATGGCAGTTGGTATTGGTTCTTGCCTGAAAATTGGTGCTTTATAGAGCGTGATTATAGTTTGATTATATGGCAGTAGTTACTGAGTTACTGTCTCTTCTTGGGTAATACAGGGAAAGAAAGAATACCCCAATGATAGAAGGGGAGCATAAAACAGCAAAAGAGCAACAGCAAAAAACAACAACAAAAATTAGACTGTATACTGTAGTCTATAATCACAGAAAAGGGAGAGTAGGGAAAGGAAAAAAAATATATCTGCAGTCTAATATGAGTATGACTTTCATGTCATCTTTCAGCTTCTTGCCTTCAAAACTGCCTGAGAGATTCCACGATGCCACTGTTAGTTGTTATGCTGTACCTCACAATTGAATTTAATTTTCAGCCTGTTTTGTTTTTAAACTCTCTTTTCCTCTCCACACCCCTTGTTTTCTGGCCTTTTCTGTATTAAAAAAAAAAGTTTCGGGCCTGCTCTTGTGCTGAGAGTATCTGTGTGCATGCATGGCAGGAGAACCCATCAGTGGTGAGGATGGGGGTGTCCACTCGCTCAGGCACGCCCCTCTAGTCACCAGAAAGGAGGTGTGCAAACAGTGTGTCTGTGTGGGGTGGGCAATGAACAGATACCAAAAAAAGAAATAAATCAGAACAAAGCAAAACTGAGAAAGTGTATTGTCCACCTTTGCTCCACGGTTCCCCCAGCATTTTTCCATGGTGTCTGTTTCCCCACTTGGTCATGCTGCTTGGTATCACCAAAGTTGTTGGCTCTGGGCCGCCAAGCCCGGGAGTCTGAAATGTACACGATTTCTTACTTTTGCGACAAGTTCCACTAGCTATAAGCCTTCAAATTTTTAAAGTATTCCTACCTATGTGAGTCTGAGTTTTGGAGCTCACCCTGAATCTCCATTGCCTGGTATTCTGTGGTATGGCTGACGGCAAACCTCACTGCACCTCCACCTGTCTTAGCACTTTGAATGTATTCTTGTAGGTCTTTTTTGGCCCCTTTGCTGTTCTGGAGAAGTCTGCAGATAGTCTTCTTGTTCCTTTGTGGTGTTTCAAAGTTCTTCTCTTTGTTTGCAGTTCCAGTAGAGTGTACGGTGGTTTACATTTTTATCCTGTTGAGTATTTATTGCACTTCCTGAATCTATGAGATTATATGTTTTTCAATCTAGTGCATTCTCTCTGATTTCAGTGCCCTCTTCATTTTTGGTGCTTGAGGAAGTTTGATATTTACTTGTCAGCTCAGCTTTCATTTCAGAGTGTTTAATAAGTAAGTCATTTGTGGACTTCTCAGAAAGTGCCATCCACCCTGTGACCCCTGGTCTCTTCTCTGTGTGTCACTATTTATAAGGACAGTGGTCATTCACTGGCTTTGGGAGCCATCCAGTTAATCCAGGGTAATCTCATCATGGGAATCTTTGTCTCTCCATACATCCTCAGGGTCAGGATGAGGGCTTTTCTTTTTTTTGGGGGGGGGGGAAGAGTGGAAGGGCTCTCCCCAGCAAAGAAAATTCATCCTCTTGCAGACCCCAGAGCCCTTATAGATAAACTTGAGTCTTATGCCAGCTGCATAAGGAAAAACAGGATTTATTTTTCCTGTCCAGAGAACCTTCAAAGATGACTATGGATCGGAACAGCAGAAAGCCTAGGAGCATAGGCACCCACACTGCAAGTCTGGTTGGTTGTGATCTGGGATGGGATCCATGTGGCCCTGGCAGGGACAGTCCTGGGGAGGGGCCATTTAGGGGCAGTGGGTGTGGGGCTGACGACCTGGTCTGAGGAGAGGTTGTGGGTGTGGGGCTGTTGACCTGGTCAGAGGAGACGTTGGTTGGAGCAAAGTCAACGGGAGAGGCCTAGATTGGTGTTCTATGAGAAATGTGGTTCAAGGGCCCAGGGGGGAATTAAGCCAGAGAACTATGCTTCCAGGTGGTTCGTGAGGGAGTGGTCATTGAGAAAGGGGGCTATACTTCCCAAGGAATCAAAGTGTTCCCTTCTCAGAGGGTCCCAACTTCTCTCCCCAGGTCCACATTAGATTCTCCAATCATTTAGTCAGATTCTACACGTCACCTTTTCAGGGACCAAAGTGCTGTGGAAATCTGGGCTGAGAATGTGAGTTCTCTGTGTCTTCTCTGATGAGGGAGTAAGGTATGTGGCTTGGACTACAGTTCTGTGTGAAAGCAATATTTACTACAAGACTAAATAAAGCATCATGGGAGAGGGTTGGCAGAACCACCTGCCCACTTCAGGGACCCTTGGGGTTTCTCAACATCTTCCCTTGACACGAAAATGGAGGACCTGCTTACCCACTTATTTCTGTGCTCTTCGCTCTCTTAGAGACTTGCTCTGAAGCCTCTCAAAGCTGGGGAGATGGCAGTGTGTGTTGGCAGTATTTTCTTCTCCTGTGTCCAATGAGGTGTGACTTATCACCAAAGTCTCGCCCACATTCCCTGCAGATATAGGACTTCTCCCCTGAGTGTGTCTTCTGGTGTTTAACGAGGTCTGACTTCTGGCTAAATCCTCTCCCACACTCCTTGCAGACATGGGGTTTCATTCCAGAATGTGTCCTTTGGTGTCTAATGAGGTCTGACTTCTGGCTAAAGCCTCGCCCGCATTCCTTGCAGACATAGGGTTTCTCCCCTGAGTGTGTCCTCTGGTGTTTCATAAGATCTGACTTTTGGCTAAAGCCTCGTTTACACTCTATGCAGACAAAGGGCTTCTCCCCTGAGTGTGTCCTCTGGTGTGTAATGAGGTCTGACTTTTGGCTAACGCCTCGCCCACACTCTTTGCAGACATAGGGTTTGTCTCCTGAGTGTGTCTTCTGGTGTCTAATGAGGTGTGACTTCTGAATAAAGCTTCGCTCACACTCCCTGCAGACATAGGGCTTCTCCCCTGAGTGTGTCCTCTGGTGTTTAATGAGGTCTGACTTACGGCTAAAGCTTCGCCCACACTCCTTGCAGACATAGGGCTTCTCCCCTGAGTGTGTCCTCTGGTGTGTGACAAGGTGTGACTTCCGGCTAAAGCCTCGCCCACACTCCCTGCAGACATAGGGCTTCTCCCCTGAGTGTGTCCTCTGGTGTGTAATGAGGTCTGACTTCTGACTAAAGCCTCGCCCACACTCCCTGCAGACATAGGGCTTCTCTCCTGAGTGTGTCCTCTGGTGTTTAATGAGGTCTGATTTCTGGCTAAAGCCTCGTCCACACTCCCTGCAGACATAGGGCTTTTCTCCTGAGTGTGTCCTCTGGTGTTTAATAAGGTTTGATTTCTGGCTAAAGCCTCGCCCACACTCCTTGCAGACATAGGGCTTCTCCCCAGAGTGTGTCCTGTGATGTGTGATAAGCACTGATTTCTGGCTAAAGCCTCGTCCACACTCTCTACAGACATAGGGCTTCTCCCCTGTGTGTGCCCTTTGGTGTTTTATTAGGTGTGATTTCCGGCTAAAGCTTCGTCCACACTCCTTGCAGTCATAGGGCTTCTCCCCTGTGTGTGTCCTCTGGTGTCTAATGAGGATTGATTTCTGGCTAAAGCCTTGCCCACACTCCCTGCAGACATAGGGCTTCTCCCCTGTGTGAGTCCTCAGGTGTGTGATAAGGCTTGACTTAGCACTAAAGCCTTGCCCACACTCTCTACATGTAACTTTTGCAATTCTTGGGATTCCTTTCCCCGGCAATAATTTGCCTGTGTCCGCAGCATTCACTCTCTGGCCTGAGCATGGGTCTGTCTGCGTCATTCTGTTAGCCTCCCTAGAACTCCCCATTTGGTCTTTGGGTAGACTAGAGAAGGTCTTTAAAATGCCCCCCTGTCTTGTCCTTTCAAACATGGCTTTGGGCCCATCTCCCATCTCTAGACCTTCTGCTCTGTCATTCCTGGCGAGTTGCTCAGAATGCGGCTCCTTCCCATCCCCTGGATGGCGGTGCTCTAGGTGAAGGTGTTTTTCCGCAGGAGTTCTTGGAGAGGACTGAGAGGGATGGGTGTGCTGCACTTGTTGATGGAGGAATTTCTGTCCAGACAAGACCAGAGAGCAGGGAGGACATGGAGGGATCTCTGCCTTTGGTTCTCCTGGAAGAGAAAGTTTTCCATCAGAGTCAGTGGAGAAAGGACGGTCTGCTGCTTTGTGGAAAGAGCTCCTCTTAGGATCAGAATACAGGATCTGACTCCACCAAGTCCTCCTTTATAGGGTTACTTTTCCCTCCATCCTTATTCATTGCATCTTCTTCAGCAATCTGGAAACCCATATCTGGGACTCAAGTGTGGACAATACAGGACTGGCCCTGGTCCACTGACTAAAGGACACTAGTTCCTGCTCACTTGTATCTCTCTCGTTTTCTAAAAATTATAAAGCACAAACGGGTCCTTTGCCAGCCTGCGTTCCACCTGCTCATACCTGACTCACTTCCCCCAGGCATCCTCGAGTTGAAATGCGATAGGAAATTCTGTTTCAAATTACATCTCATGTAGACAACTCCCACCTTTGTCCACCACCCCTCTCTCACCTGGGCGCTGAAGGAGTCCCCAAGTGGATCCCCAATCACATCTTGATCCTAGAGTCTAACCAAAGCCTCCTCATCCCCAGAGGTTTCCCCCACTCTCAGGACAAACCCTAATATTGTAGCATCAATTTCAGACCCTAGTTTCCCCATTTCTGTCTCTCTGTAGGAGCTCTGGTGTTGCTGGAGGATAAAGTTGGAAGTTCAAACCCACCAGCTGTTCAATGGGAGAAAGATGAGTCTTTCTGCTCTCATAAAGATGTACCGCCTCGGAAACCCTACACAGTGTTGCTATGAGTAGGAATGGACTCATGGCCATGGGTGTGGGTCTGTCCCTCTTTCCTCTGCTCCCCTCACCCGCTGGTTCTGCAGGGGTCTCCTAACTGTTTTTCAAACACCCTCTTGCCTGCCTCATGAAGTTGCATGCATTGCTTTCTGTACCCAAGTCTTCTGCCCACAGCTATTTGAACGAATCAGTCCACCTGCTCATGAGTAACGTGAGGCAGCTGTCCTGGGCACCTCTGCCGTGCTGTGTCCTTTCACACACAGGATGTCCTCCCCTGCAATGAGTTTCTGTACAACACTAATGAGGGTCTGGGGTGACACGCAGGTGGGTGCTCCGTTTGGTGTAGTAGGCGGGTGTGCACGACCACCAGTTTAGTTCACTATCTGTTGTGGTAGACGTCTGTACAAATTCACTGTCTTGTGTTGGATCATGTGTATGCATGCTCACTGGCATGACACACACACATGTGCATGCTCATTAGTATGACATGTGTGGGCATGTATTCTGTATGTTGGTGCTGTTTCTCTACTGAAGTCACTCTGCTGTCTTGATGAATCTGTAGATCTAGTTACTGGAACCCTGTCTAATAGAGCAGGCTCTCACCTGCTTCTTCTAACAATTCACTGAAATGACGAGTGAGTGAATGAATTTTTTACTAATGTGGAGGTTAAGAAGAAAGCGGTAGAGGACACAAAACCACCTTGGTAGAAGCTAGAAGGAGCCTGAGAACTTGTTTTGGTCAGAAGTGCTGTTATACAATGTGTGCCTGAAATATTAAAAAATAAAATCAGAACAAAAACATAAAAAGTTATTCAAACTATTGCA